AAAAAAAAAAAAAAAAAGGAAGTTCCCTCATTATGGAGTCCAACTGGACAGCATAATCAGCTCTAATAGGAAGAAACTCTCCTAAGATGAACCTTTTCTGGAATCTCTGAATTTGAATGTACGAAAAATGATAATGAGAACTTTCTATAGTGCAAAGCATGTACACTTTCTAATTGAGCCCTCTCCCAAGAAAAGTTAGCCAGGGGAGAACTCCCTCATTGAAGTTCTATAAGCAGGGATACTCCTGCAAATGGGTGGTTGGCTCTAAATGGTTTATTGGCATTTAGGCATGGTGACTTCACCTGGTTTGCAAAAGCAAAACTTAACACAAGAACTGCAGAGCCAATCCAAATGTGGTTGTATATCAACTACTATGGACTGTGTGTGTTTATGCCATAGAACCCACTTCAGATATCTGGGGATCCTCCAGGATCTATGGTGCTCTCACTTGAAGAGGATCCCAACCACTCCTACCATTGATTAGCCATGGAGGGAGGGTGTACCAAAGATGTAAAGCTGGAATTTTATCCAGGGGTACCTGTACAAGGAGATAGTGAGTACCTCCTTCTGCAACACCAAAGAAAGTACAAGATCCCGAATCATGCAATTTATGGTAAAGGTCCACCAGTTAGAACTATGATATGTCATCCCTTCCTCCTGTATTCCCCTGCATGACCATTTACTGACCAGTAGAGAGCAAATGGAGAGACGTGGCTAGATATGTGCCTATAACCAGATATACAGTGACAATGACATCCTCCAGGACCTCTGACAAAGCCCCAGGAGGGCCAGGAGGATGCCTTTATGTTTGTGCATCTGGTTACAGGCACAAGGCTTCTCTGACATAAATGGGCATGAAGTGGTGAGGCCTGAAGGAGGAAGGTGAGTCCTGCAGGGATTTTGGTCACTGTGTGAAGGGAGATAATGAATTGTTTCCTCCTCAACAACCAAAAGAATTTACTATGCAGCCATAACTGAATGAAAGAAAGGTCCATTAACAGGATGCCAGCCCTTATGCAATATATGTCACTAACAGAATTCCAGCCACAATGAAATATCCTCATTAACTGGATCAGATATAAATATTAAGAGTTTGGCCTTCAGCATGTAGTAGGTTTAGTAGCGTCTTCATTAGCTCACAATAAAAATTTAAAGACAACTAAAAATCATCTGATTGAAACAGTATAAAATCATTAAATTGCATACAAAAGTTGAAAATAAAGCGCCCCCATAAAAAGCCTCTCTGAAAACAACTACACATTAAGAACAAGCTTGAGCAAAAAAAAAAACTTTTTAACTGCTAATGGAAAAGAAGCAAGGAGGGGGAAGCCTAGCGAAAAGGAATTCCAGAAGGTGGGAGCAGTCACTGAGAACGTCCTCTTCCATGTCCTCATCAAGTGAACCTGGGATGGTGGTGGAACTGAGGGAAAGCCTTCCCCAAGTGAATTCTAAGACTTTTGTAGGTTCATATAGGAAAATACAGTCTTTCAGATAGCCTGAGAAGACTATATATAAATTCCATCCTTTGAAAATAATGTGTGTCCTCTTCACATTATTTCTTTTTGGGAATTAAACTGGAAGTGACCTAGAACAATAGCAACAGCAAATAGCAATTTAAATTGCTAATAAAGATCTGAAGTACTAAAGCAAGGCTAAACATTAGCACTTCAAAGAATTAAAAATGCAAAAGAACACCCAAGAAGACCCATTATCCACTACTGTTGTTTTGAAGGGGAGGTTTGTAAAAGTCAGGCAGCAGAGTTTCCAGTATCAAAAACCTTGTTACATTAACATCAAATCAACAGCACTGATGAACTGCAAGAACTAAAGATTTACTCTGGCTAACATTTTTGCATCAGAAGAGCCATTTGAGAATTTGTGGGTTGCAATGGGAGTAAGAGAGCCAATGTGGTGTAGTGGTTTGAACATTGGACTATCATTCTGGATACCAGGGTTCAAATCCCCACATTCTCAACCACAGAGGAAGGCAAAGGCAAACCTCCTTTGAATAAATCTTGCCAAGAGTACCCTGTGATAGGTTCGCTTGAGTCTCTCCATAGATCAGAAATGGCTTGAAGGCACATAACAACAATACTAGTAAGTCAAGCACAACAACTTCCACTCACAGTGGTGATGCAGACTATGAACAGATACAGGAAGCTCATTTAATCTTTAGTCAAAAAATCACTGCTCTTCTGTTGTTTGTCATCAGATCAGCTTCAATTTAAGGATAACCTATGATTGAGAAATTTCCATGAGCCCTAGTCATCAACAGCTTTGTTCAGTTCAGGACTGTGGCCTCCTTGAGTTACTCAATCCATCTCTAATGTGATTTTTCTCTTTATCTGTCCTTGGACGTTATCACACGTGGGCCAGAAAACGATAATAAAGTGGAAATGAGGCATTCCGAAAATAAACCAAAAATTCGGCAAATGGCTTTCACACGTAATTACCTTAATTGCGAAATTACAGTAAGCGCATTTAACGTTCACACACAAGTGAGAAAAGCCCGTAAATGTACTAGAAATTATCTTCTTGCACATGCACAGATAGAGGAATGCTCATTGTGGAACCATGGAACCATGGGAAAAGCAGGGAAATGCTCCCAAATACACATTTGCTTTTCACATTACGGTAAATGCGAAATTACTGTAATTTCGCAAATGCATTTCCTCAAAACTACCGAATTTCAAAAGATCTCAGATAACACCAGTTTCTGTGCAATGTTGTGTGAAATTGTGAGGCACAAATCCAGTTTCTGTTTGGGATTTGCGTGGATTAGCCAGCAGATTTCCCCCGTGTGATAACGTCCCTAATCTAGTAATGACATTAAATACCTCTGTGTACTTCATGTGCAAGTTTTTTAAAAATGCAAGTCGAAACAGCTGAAGAGAGGATTTGGGATCCTAGCTGTGTGGAGGAGAAACCTAACCATGTTAATCTCTGTTAGACTAGGAGAACTTGAAAAAGATGAGATCAAAAGGGAAGTGCTCCTCACTTGCAAGACTGGGGACCAGAGCTGAGAGATTCTAGATCCAGAGCTCACCTGAGTCTGAGAAGGGGAAAAGTCAGAGTTAAGGAATGTGGCAATTGGAGAATGGAGAAAAAAACAGGTATAGCAGAAGCAACCATAGAGGGAAAAGACTACATCTAAAATATGAGATTAGTCAGAAAGTCTGCAGAAAAGTCCTAGTGATGAGTTCTGAACTCTGTGGTAAGGTTGACAATGACTCACCAATGCTGACTAGTAGCCCTGATGCCAGTGGGAAAGCAAATCTGCTTTGATATTTAGTTTGAAATGTAAAAGGGCTATACAAGGTGAATTCTACCTTCCGCCCCCATCCCCCAAAAATGGGTTCAGCATCTTGGACAGTGTCTTTAAATTTCAGAGTGAAGGCAGGAGCAGATTCATCACCTCACTGACACTGGAGCAATCAGCCTTTCCTGTGACCCACATAGTTTCTCTGTCTCTCTGAGAAGAGTGAGGGAAGGGCTCTGAGGGGTTTTTTCCTACTAAGGAAATGTTGGAATATGGATGGGATATGCAGTCAAAGTGGAAATGTGGAGATGTGTGAGAAAAGTGTCTAAGCAAACAAAGAGGACTCAGCCTGCAGGTAGTTTGAAACCAAAACAATTTCACACTGAACAGAATAACAAGGACATTAAGTCTGAGAAAACAGGATGCTAGAAGGTAAACATATGATCTCATCTGGTATGCTTGGGAACCACGTCACATGAGGAGTGACACACAGCCAGGGGCTGGTCTAGAAGCTGGGATAAAGCTGATCATCCTATCATTATGTAGGTTGCCACCTACATAAGGTGGAGTTATGGTTTGGGCCAAGGGCTCCTTTCTTCTCTTTGTTAGAACTTGCTTTGCTTTCAACTTAACAACAAGTTGTGATCCTATGGGTTCTGTCATCTGTGAGATGGATTGTACATAGTTCTTTTTTGTTTTTACTATGCAACAATAAAGCTTTACTTTAGATTTACTATTGTGTCTTCATGGAAAACTAAAGTTGCTGGGAGAATGCAGGGAACAGCATTTCCAGGATGGCTGATGTATGGAAGCAGTCTTCTGATCTCTGCTACATCAAATCAACAGGAAAAGCTTTCCACAACCCACTTCACACACCCATCCCAAACATGACAAATTCCCAAACATCCTCTTGCTGTGATCTTAATAGTTCTCATACCCATCATATTTCCTAAAGCTAATGCATATTTTTGCTTTTTTTTAAAAAAAAAGTGCAGGTTAAATGCAAAGACACATTTAATGTCATTTTCAATTTAGTCCTAAAATGTCAGCAGTAGAGGAAAAAGCAGCAATAAATTTTCCAAAGGCATCATGCTGGCCACTGTGGGAATAGAATGCTGGACTAGGTCAGCCTTTGGTCTAATCCAGCCAGGCTCTGCTTAGGTTTCTTATGTCATCTACCATTTAAGGTGTAAGCTAACATCTGCTGATGGTATATTTTTGGACAGTGTCAAGAAGAATTGGGGATAAATGTGAGTAAATGCAGTCTGTAATGATCATGTTCATCACTCAGAACCCAGTCCTGAAGGACATATACAACAATCCAATATATAGGAATCAGCAGGTGAAACTTTTCCTGGCATGGAGCCTAAGCATTATAATTTCTGCAGATAAGAATACTGTTAAAGATTCAAAGGTTGGCCACCCAAACCTTTGTCTCACAGCTTTGTCTTACAGGGGAAGATCAGTTTCTTTCAGGGAAGTCTATCTTCTTAATGATGAAACCTCACATATAGGGCTCATACCCACTTGCTTTTAATCTGCTTTGTGAGTCGCATTGACACTGGGTTGCGGAAGCAATTCATATTGATGTATAGTTCCCATTATGAAAGCAAATTATTACAAGAATTTCATGCATTTGTGTCTTTTTTTGCTTTTGCTTTTGTTTGTTTTTTATTTATTTTTTTAAAAATGTCAATCATATGGAATGCATAGGTCCATCATCAGTGCCAACCTGGGCAGCATCCCTGGGACTCTGGAGCTTCCAAGCCTCCTGGGGAGCAGGCAGTCCTGGGGCTCTGGAATGGGGGGGCAATGCCCAACATCCCTGATGGAGAGGAAGCTGAGGGAGGGACCAGCAGATCCTGCCAAGCAGCCTTTGGGGAGGGAAGGAGGGAAGGAGGGGAAGGGAGGCAGCAACCAATGGTGCTTTAGGATTGCCATACTTTTGAAACAACTTGAAGGCACACAATACACCCACACATAAGGTGAACCCTATCATGGGGTACTGTTACTCAAGTAAGTGCAGAGGAGGGCTCAGCATAAAAACCCACTGGGTGGCCTTCAGCAAGTCACACTCTCTCATCCTCAGAGGATGGCAAAGGTGAGCAGCAGGTGTCCTCCTTTTCCAGGACCTCCTCCTCAGGGGGACCAGGTGTGTCCTCACCCAAAAGGAGGACAAAGGCATAGCAGCTGAGTGGCCCTGACTCCTCTGAGGTGGCCGCTGGGCTTGGAGAGGTTGGCTGCTCAGCCTCGCCCACTCCTCTTGGGGTCTCTCTGGTCCCTGGAGCTTGGAGAGCAGTGGAAGTGGTGGAAAGTCCTTTCTTGGTTCATGTCCTTCCTTTTTCTTGAAATTTTGAGCATGACTAAGAAGCCTGCATTTACATTTCTATATGAGTGCTTTTAGCTTTTCTTTGGTGTCATGCCCTCCTTTTCTTTAGTTTTCTTCTGGAATGTCCTCCCTTTTGAGGAATATCCTTGTCTTCCTTCACCAGAGGGAGCCCCTGTTATTTTTGTAAATATGAGCAGAGCAATACATCTTTACTGAAGTCGCTGTAAGCAGCATTTCCCCCTCCTTTCGTCTCACCACTTAGGAATGCAGCCTGCAGTGTTCGGCTTGAATTCCAGACCGGAGGTAGAAGTTGGCTCTCAAGAAGCACATTTTATTTCTTTAGTTGCAGTAAATACATAGTAACTATTTACAAAGGAAATTAGTCCATCAGCAGGCAGAAAACAAAGAAGAATCTCACAAAATTAACCAGTTAACCAGCATAAGAAAAAGAACACAGCTCCACCCCTCAAGCTGAGGGCTCAATTGATTTGTGGACATTTGTAAATAGCCTCAATGTCCAACCTCTTCTTGTGACTCATAGTCACGTGGGTAATGGTTCTCACAATCCCTGATGATCTAATTTGTTTTTCCTCTTGCCTTCTGTGTTCCCAGAAACAATGACCTTGGCTGTGTTTCTCTAAGTTGTTTTTGTACTACATCTGCAAGCAAAAGCTTTCCCACAGCTGTACATTTCCACACTGACTACATATCCTAGCAGCCCCAACCTTCTGTCTTTAGTCCCTCCCCTCCAATGTGATGTGAATCAAATCCTTTATTCACACTTGTTGAATAAGCTTCCAAATCCCTTTTTTTCAAAAGAACCATAAAAAAAACTAGTGTCTGAAAAGGGCAATTTGTTTGCATTTGCCTCGCTTCAAAGTGATTCCAATCAATAACAATCGAGTCAGAAACTGTTTTCAATATGAATGAGGCACATATAAAGCAATCAGCAAATCACTTTAAATCATAGTGGGAATGAGCCCATAATATGGCACTGTACAAGGACACTTCAGTTAGCAAAGTTTCTGACAAATAAGTTCCTTGTCTTCTTTTATGGGAGCTTAGCCCAGACCAGACTACCCACCTACCCTTGTCTTCTGTCCAGCTGGAAGTTTTTATTGTTTTTGTTGTTTTGGTTTGATTTTTTTGCAGCATTGGCATCGGATTTTTTTTTTATTTTTTATTTTTTATTTTTTATTTTTTATTTTTTATTTTTATTTTTTTTTTTGCACTATGTCATTCCAATAGGCAAAGTAAACAGCTGCATCCAAATTCAATTTCTGGTCAAGTGTGAAGGGCAAAAGTGAAAGCAATGGGGAAAACAGATTAACCTACTACACCAGCTGGCTTGGTGAAAAAGATATATCCATTTCATCACCAAAATGG